AAAAAAAAAAAAAAAAAAAGAAAAAAAAAATCAGTGCCATGAGAGATGATGAAAGGCTGAGGAATTGTCTCAGATTAAAGGAGACTAAAGAGAGAAGAAAAATAAGTGCCATGTGTGATCCTGGATTGAAAAAGCAAAAATTACTATAATAGATAATACTGGGATTATTGGCAAAATTTTAATATACACTGTATGTTGGATAATAATAGCATATCAACGTTAAATATTCTGAGCTTTTGGTAATGGCACTGTGGTTATATAAGAATACCCTTTTCCTTAAAAGATTTAGGGGTAAAAGGTCACGGCATCTGCAATTTACTCTCAAAAACAAAAAGAATGAGCCCTGGCTGGGTGGCTCCGTGGGTTGGAGCGTCATTCCCGTGCACCAAAAGGTTGCGGGTTCAATTCCCGGTCCGGGCACATACCTAGGCCGCAGGTTTGATCCCGGTTGGGGCGTGTACGGGAGGCAACCAGTTTTGATGTTTCTCTCACGTTGAATGTTTCTTTCTCTCTCCCTCCCTTACTCTCTCTCTAAAATCAATAAAACCATATCCTCAGGTGAGGATTTAAAAAAATTTTGAAAAAGAATGAATGTGTGTGCATGTGTGAGTGTATACTTCGTGCCTTAAAAAATACAATCAACTGAAAACAATTGGACGCTGCTTAAATGACCCCAGAGCATGAGGGGTTCCGGCCCCACCACCCGCAGGCTCCGAGTGGTCGTTTTGACGGGACGGTGTGAACGTGGAAGCCGAGGCGAGGGCAGCGCAGCCTCCGCAGTGTTCGCTTTGTCAGCTCTTACCGGCCCCAGTTCTCGTCATTGCCTCTTCCTCCCAGGGATCTAAGGCAGCTTCTCCCTAACAGGAGATGAAGGTCATGGCACAGGCGCTCGGTGGCTTCTCAGTCCCCCGCCGTGTGACACGCCCTGGTTCGCGGCCTCTCAGTTCAAGCTGAGCTGCTCGGCCACCCGCCTGCTCGTTTGCTCGGAGCATCCTCAGGCCCCCGGCTCAGCAGAGCTCCCCCTCGACTCCCAGCTTTTCCAATCGCATTAGGGCAATAAAGTGCTTGGGGAAGCACAAAAGAGGACCAGTTTAGGTGTCACAGGCACTTCCATATTCAGGAGGGGACTGCCGGAGGGGAGCCTTTGGCTGCGGGGCCAGAACAGAGCACGATGAATTGAGGGAAGGCCCCTTTCTCCATGTATACGTGACATCGGTTATGCCAGTGGGGACAAGAAAAGTCCAATGTCCCCTCAGAGCTAATCCGAACCTTAACAGCTATTGGAGCAAAAGCTGCACATACATCTTCTCTCTGGGTCGCCCATGCTCATGGGCACCAAACAGGGGTGTCTAGTAACATATTTTCCCCACCAGTCAGCCAAATCTGTTTTCAATGCAAAGGGTGCATTTCAAGGACATTTGGTGGATTTGTGGCACTGCCTGGAGGACCTTGGGTCAATCAAACGAAAAATGAATTACAGAGAAATATAAATGCAGCATGTTCATCAGTGACATTCATAGTATTGCACAATATAGAAGAAACAGTGGTTTCTCATAGATTTGCATGCTCACTGTTACTACAAAAATAGTGCACCACTGAGCAGGGGCTGGAGAGAATAAAGCAAAGAGCAGTGAAAATGGTGACATCTCTAAAACATGATGTTTCAGAGCAAAGAGAATGTGTGTCCTCTCTTGTTTCCAGCTAAGCAGGGCTGTTGGCAACTCAGTATGAGGGAAGCTGCTGATCTCCAGTTGGATGGGGCAGGTCTCTCCCAGACCAGGGCAGTCTCAGGGGGGCCTCTAGTGAGAGCACTACAGGGTCCAGGGAAAGGCAGGGTCTGAGAGGTTGGGTGGAACCACATGGAGCCTGAGAGGATCTGAGCTGTGGCCCCCAAGTGCATTTGTCTTGGAGGTAATTTCAAAATAGACCCCATACCTGTCCACTACGCTTTATCCTAAGGCATCATCCAGATAAATTATGACCCCATAATTCTATAGACTTCTAACCAACCCCTTCCCATTTTGACCTAGTTACTCCAAGGTTTATAACTTGAGCTGGGGAATCTGACAAGAGTTTCTGGCAGAATTCTGAATACTTGACTCTCCTGGGACACAGGATCAGGCAGTCCTCTGAACTTATGTGTGGGGCTGTGCCCAAGAAACAGCAGCCTGTGGCTCCTGAGACCCAAAATGGATTCATACTTAAGGTTGCAAGGCCCCACATCCTAAGGTCTGTGCCACACTGAGAACTCGTTTACAGGTTGTATTAAGAAAGTTTCTAATCACATATACAAATGTAGTTAGTTATAAGGAATCTCTATGTATGTATCACTCGATATTCAACAACCATCAACATTTTACTTACTAATATCATTTATCGACTCCTCCCCTCCCTTTTTGCCAGAATATTTTAAAGCAAATCTCAAACATCAAGTCATTTTACCCCAAAATACTTCAAAATGCATCTCAAAAAAATAAGAATATTTTTATCATTAATAAAATTTATAATTTTTTAGTACTCTCTAATATTCTGTCTGCATTCCAAGTTCCTTGATAGTCAATAAAAGTCTTTTCCTAAATGCATTATTTGAACTATAATTTAAGTGAGGGCTACTCTATTGTTTGCTGGTTTTGTCTCATAAGTAGCTTTTATGTCTTTTTTTACAAGAGCAGTCTCCCATCTCCTCCCACACCCTCTCTCTCCACTTCCACCCACAGCACTCACATGACCATAAAGCAAAGTCAGTTGTTCTATCGAATGCCCCACCTTCTGCATCTGGCTGATTGCCACCTTGTGGTGCTGTTGAACTTAAGTCCCTCACATCCCTTATAGGCTGGAAGTTAAGCCTAAAGTCATGATTGGATTCAAGCTATAATTGGCGGGGAGGGGGCAAGAATACCTCACAGGTGGTACTGTGTACTTCAAATTGTATCACATCACAAAGTATGAATGCCTGACTGTCTAATTTTGTTGATGCTAATGTAGAGTTGATTTGGTTTCAAAATGAAATAAAGCATTTTCAGGCATCCAAAATCAAACCTATAAAACAAAGTATATTCAAAGAAGTCTTGTTTCCATTCTTTCCCCTCTACCTGGTTCTTATCTCCCCTTCAAGACAACCAGTTCTGAGTTTCTCCCCTATGGAGCCTTTTTGCAAATATAAGAAGATACACACGTACCTCTGTTACAGGAAAGGTTAGTATACAATATGCCGCATACTGCATCCCATTTACTATATATCTTATATACGTACATTCAACACCTTGCTTTTTTCACCACACATAAGTCATTTTGTATTTTTGCAAGTATATATTAGGTGAACACTCCAAGAATTGGGATTGCTGCTAAAAAATAACATATATGTAAACATGCTTGTCAATCAAATTACGAAGTCTGATATTAATTTACATTGTTTCTCTCATCAGAAAGAAGCCAACAAGACATATAACTGTGAAAACTTAAGTCTCAGAGAAATTCCTGACACTCTACCAAACACAACAGAATTTTTGGAGTTCGGTTTTAATTTCTTGCCTACAATCCAAAATACGACTTTCAGCAGACTCATAGATCTTGTCTTTTTGGATTTAACCAGGTATGTATCTGAGTTGCATTCTAATTGCATCTAGAACCTTTCTGGCCAGGAGGGGGGGGGAGGCACAGGGACCATCTGCTTATCCTGCGTGTTTACCCTCTCCCATGAAATACTTCTATGCAGGTGAAATGTAATTTTTAAAAAAGTCAATGGAGAAGAAAGGGAATTGTTAAACTAGATTAGGTCAGTTGTGCTGTTTAAGAAGCTCTAAGGAATATTGATAACAAAACTGAAAACATATGTACTGTATCAGATGTCATATTATACTACGTTATTGGGTGATAACATTTTAAAAATTTTACAGGAGAAACACACAATTTGCTAACTTTTTTTTTACAAATTGGGGAAAGAGTTCCATTATTTGGTTTTAGAGGCAGAATCTGGATTCCAAATGCTGAACTAGTGTTTAGGAACCAGTGGGCAGAAGGATCACAAGGAGATAAAGGAAGCAAACAAAAGGGAAATGTGGCGTGTGTGCGTGTGTGTGCGCGTGTCCGTGTGTGTGCATGTGTGTGTGCGTATCCGTGTGCATGTGTGCGTGCGTGTGCATGTGTGCGTGTCAGTGTGTGCATGTGTGCGCGTGCGTGTCAGTGTGTGCGTGTGCATGCGTGTGCGTGCGTGTCCGTGTGTGCATGCGTGAGCATGTGTGCATGCGTGCCCGTGTGTGTGCGTGTGAAAGGGCTCCGCGTGGACGGGTGGATGGCGTCTGCGCCCTTTGCGCGGCTGCCCCGCGCAGGCCTCTGCGGAGCGGGGGGCCGTTCGCAACCACCGCCCCGTCTCACCTGTGGAAACCGCCGCTGCGGGGCAGGCAGGGCACAGGCGGTCATCCTGCTCATGGCGGCTGAGGAAACGGGGGCCCAGGGGACGCTGTGAGCTTGCTTACGTCACAGGGTAAGGAAACTGGGGCTGTGCTCCCCTCACTCCCAGCCCAGAGTCCCCCCAATGACATCGGGCCATCTCCCCAGCCAAGACTCCACGTGGACGTGCTCAGAAACACTGGAGAGGAAATCTCGCGCTGCAAGGGACAGAGGTCTCCCCCACCCGCCCGTCATGCCCGAGGACCGACTTTCCCTCCCCTTCGCCACGGCCTAGCTGCAGAGGGACAGCCTGAGCGCCGGGGCCAGGACAGCTCTCCCAGCTGGAGGGCTCTGCTCCTCTGCTCTCACTCTCAAAAGGAGTAATAACACGACCCCGCGCTTTCTAAAACCCTTTCCCCTGCTCCCCGCCCCGCCCTGCCTTTTATCCGGCCATAGTCAGACCTACATAGTCCTGTGTCTTTAGTTTTGCGAGGATTTGTCTATCTTCTCTGCTCACTCTTCCGTTCTGCTTTCCAGATCTTCCTCTCCGGAAGAATTTTGGTTTTTCCTGAGGTACATCCTTAGAAATTCCTTTAGTGAGAGTCTGTTAGCAGTGAACTCCCTTGGTCTTTGTTTTGTGAAAATGTCTTTATTTCACTCTGATTCTTGAAAGACAGTCTTTTCGGAAGTACGCGCCTAGGCTGACAGCACTTTTCCCCGCCTCAGATGCTATCATTCCAGGTGCCACTGCTGCTGCTGGCCAGTCCCCAATCTGTCTGACCACTGGCCATATGCCCGTGATCTGTCTCTTCCTGTCTGGATGTTTTCAATAGCTTCTCTTTGTCTTTGGCACTCTGTAGATTGTTAGGCTCCTTGAATGTGAGGTTGGTGGCTTTTGTCAATTCTAATATCCCAGTTGTCATCTGTTTGAACCTTGGCTTGCTCCTATTTACTCTCTTATCCCTGCTGGATCGCTAATTAGACTTATTGCATCTTCTCATCTAGCATACTTCGTATGTCTTAATATCTTTTTCTTGCTTTCCATCTCTTTGGGTTTTTGGACTATATTCTAGTTAATTTTCTCATATTTACTACTAGTCCATTAATATCCTCTTCAGTCATGTCTAATCTCCTGTATAGATTAAACATTGGCTTTCTAATTTCAATTATTTTCCGTTTCAATAAGTTTCATTGATTTTTCATTTTACAAATATAGCAGATGAGTTTTAATATTGTTTTCGTTCACTGGGCTGTTGATTCTTACTATTTTCTTTATGTCAAACATGTTTGATATAAACATATTTATCAGATATTCTGATAATATATATCAGAGAAAACCTGTATTGTTTATATATCATATATATTATCCGATACATCTGATAATTCTGGTATCTGCTTTCTTTTAACCTAATTCTGTAGGCCTTTTTCTCACTTTGGGAAATGTGTTTCCCTTGTGTTTATCGAATTTTTATTTTGAGCTCATTTATCTTTTGGAAAGTGTATAAATCTTTGGAAATGTGTGTAAATCTTTGTTTAAAATGCTTTCTTGGAGTTAGATAGTACCAATGAATTATTAGTATTGCCATATGTGACAATGGCATTATGGCTATAGAAAATAAGCCTGGATTCTTTTTGCAGATGCTTACTCAAAAATGTATGGGATATCTAGGATTTGCTTTAAAACAATCAGGTGAGAGAGGTGGGGATAGAGGAAGCAAAGAAGCACACGTGGCAAAATCTTGAGAATTGCTGCATCTGTGTGATAGGTATGTGAAGGTTCCTTGTATTATCCCTTTGCTTTTATGTAACTTTGGAAGTTTTCCTGATTAAAATTTAAGTACATCTATCTGGAAAAGGTTTCTATTTACTTCTGCCAGTTACCTGAAGTTACTGACATCCTAGAGCCACTTCAAACTAAATTTTCCACTTGGGTTTCTTTTGGAAGGCCCACAGAGGCAGCATGAATTCATGCCACAACACTTCTGAGTAGAAGCTTATGGTTTGGGAACCTCAGAGGAGATTTTTCTTGTTGTTGTTTTTTTCCATTCAGGGCCAAGGCCAAGATAAACACATCCTTAGAGGCTCCCTCTGTGAGCTTTCTTTTTTAAGGTTACCCACTGAAAGGATCCCTTTTGAGGGTCTTGGTAATTAGCAGGTTTTTGATAGGACCTCTTATCCTATCCCCAAGCTTTGTCCCCTGCCACTGACACATGTGGCTCATTAATACCCAGGCTCCAAGGTACTGGAGACTTACAGATATTGGCATATGTGACAAAGCTAGCTCTAGGGCTCACTTTTCCTATGAGTTAAGGCTTCCTTTCCACAATTCATTTCTAAGGAATTCCCTCTTGACCTCCAGGAAGGTGTGTTGTGTATATGTGTGTGTGACCCTGTATTATTAGGCTCAATGACCAGGATGGGTGTCTCGTAACCTCTAGTGCTGCATATTTCTATGGAGCATTTTCATATATATCATTGGATTCACAACCATTCTACCAAGTAATCATTATTTCTATACTTTATAGATAAAAAAACAGGTTGAGAAAAGTTGTAACTTGCCCAGGTGACACAGATTCACATTAACATACTACTATTATGCATTATATATATAACACATATATAACATATGTTTTATGCATTATATAACATTTTATATTATTTAAAATAGTAAATAATAGTTTGATTTTTTTTTTTACAATCAAACCACTAATTATTCCCCTAGATTCCAAACACAAACTTCTTGGAGTTCAATCTAAAAGGGCAAGATATCTGGGGTAAAAAATCTAAATGAGTGTGTTTAGAATTGAAGCTAGTCATTAATTCAACAGGTCAGCTGTGGTTACTAAAGAATGTCATTTTATGTTTTAATCTGAATAATAATGCACTGTTTTCACTACACAGAACTGATGACTTTGTTAATATAGGTCACTGTCACGGAGTTTTTTTTTTTCTTTTTCCTAATTAATTATCTTAAATACTATTATCTTTTCAAGGTGCCAGATTAACTGGATACATGAAGACACTTTCCAAAGCCATCACCAACTGAACACAATTGTGTTGACTGGAAATCCCCTGATATTCATGGCAGAAACATCACTCAATGGGCCCAGGGCACTGAAGCACCTTTTCTTAATCCAAACTGGAATATCCAATCTCGAGTTTATCCCAGTGCACAATCTGGAAAACTTGGAAAGTCTGTATCTTGGAAGCAACCATATTTCCTCCATGAAGCTCCCGGGAAACTTCCCCACACAGAATCTGAAGGTTTTGGATTTTCAGAATAATGCTCTACACTACCTCTCTCGCCAAGACATGGACGCTCTGGCGGTCACCAACCTGAGCCTTAACTTTGATGGCAATGACATTAAAGGCATTGATCCTGGGGCTTTCCATTCAAAAGTCTTCCAAAGTTTGAGATTTGGAGGGACTCTTGACTTGTCTGTCATATTAAAAGGTCTACAGAACTCTACCACTCAGTCTCTCTGGCTGGGGACATACGAGGATGCTGATAGCCAAGACCTCACCCCAGCCATGCTTGAGGGACTTTGTGACACGTCTGTGGAGAGCCTCAACCTGCAGATGCACCATTTCTCTGACCTGTCATCCACCACATTCCAGTGCTTCACGCGCCTCCAGGAATTGGATCTGACGGCAACTCACTTGGATGAGCTACCCTCTGGGATTCAGGGTATGAACTCTCTCACGAAATTAGTTCTCAATGTAAATAATTTTAAACAACTGTGTCAAATCAATGCTGCCAGTTTCCCATCCCTTACAGACCTCTATATCAAAGGCAACCAGAAGGAACTTGACCTCGGGGCTGGGTGTTTGGAAAAACTAGAAAATCTTCGGAGACTTGATTTAAGCCACAATGTTATAAAGGTTCCTGACTGCTGCAACCTGCAGCTCAAAAACCTGCACCACTTGCAGTACCTAAACCTGAGCTACTCTGGGTCCATTGGTCTCGAGAGTGAGGCGTTCCGAGAGTGTCCCGAGCTGGAAGTCCTGGATTTGGCATTTACCCACTTGACCATCGGTGCTCTGCAAAGCACTTTCCAAAACCTCCCTCGTCTGCAGGCTCTGAATCTCTCTCACTGCCTCCTTGATGCCAGCAACCAGCACCTTCTAGAGGGCCTGGCGGACCTCCGGCACCTGAATTTGCAGGGAAATCGCTTTCAAGGTGGGAGCATCTCGAAGACCAACCTATTTCAGACTGTCGGCAGCTTGGAGGTTCTGACTGTTTCCTCCTGTGAGCTCCTCTCCATAGACCGGGAAGCCTTCCACGGCCTTGGGAGGATGACTCACCTAGACTTAAGCCACAACAACCTGACGGCAAACAGCCTCGACGCTCTCGGCCCCCTCAAGGGGGTCCACCTCGATCTGGCCTCCAACAGCATTCGCGTCATCCCGCCCCGTCTCCTCCCCTTCTTGTCTCAGCAGAGCACCATCAATTTAAGTGACAATCCTCTGGACTGCACCTGCTCAAATGTCCATTTCATAACGTGGTTCAGAGAAAACCTGCAGAAACTCGAGGCCTCGGAGGAGACGGTGTGCGCAGACCCGCCGGCCGCAAGGGGGGTCAGGCTGGCTGAGGTCGAGCTGTCCTGCGGGATCACGGCCGTGGGCATTTTCTTTCTCGTGGTATTTTTCATCTTCTTCACTGTTCTCCTTGTTTTTTTAGTTAAATTCCTTCTGAGGTGGAAATACCAGCACATTTAGTGCTGAAGGTTTCTAGAGATGGCAAATAAATGTGTTTAGCACAACTGCCCTGGTAGCTAGTGAGCCAACTTTACAGATTGGTTCCAGGCGCTGGGTACGGATTTTTTGTGCTTTTCTGAGCCCCAAAACTAATGAACCTCCCTGGAAAGTCAAGGAGAGGTAGATGCAGCTGAGAGAGGCAGAGACATTTCCTCACACGGAAGGTGGGTGGAAGTCGAGGGCCAGGCCAGGACGGTCACCACGAGGAGGCCACCTCCCTGACACTCAGAGGCATCCTTCGAAGCACCTCCCACCCAGACCACCCGGACCCTAAAAGGAGACCATCGACACCCACAACTTAGCAGCGCCGAGGACCCTAGCTCCCAACTCTCTCCTACAATTCGGGCACTGTGCTTTGGTCTGAGTTCCCAGGAATGTAGCAGTTTGGGGAACTTGGGGATAAAGTCTTAATGTTTATTTTAAATGAAAAAGGGAAAACAATGAATTTCAAAGAAGAGGCTGAGAAATGAATCTTGCCATCAAACTGACTCCATTAAACTCCTTAAATCCTTAGGTGTCTGCAGTCTCTACAATGCCACTAGGGTGCAAATAGCTACAAAAAAAAAAAAAAAGACAGACTTTGCCAGCTCCTCCATCCCCCAGGTTTAGGATTTTTGCAGCATTGGCCACACTCACCTGAGAACCAGAGAAGTGCCTTCTGCCAACACGGTGTTCCCACTGTTAGGTCACCAAGCCCAACTCACAGGTGGGCTGTGGTCCAAATGCGCTTCTCATTTGGATGCCTGCTCCTTCGAAGCTTCTTTCCCACAGGAATCATGAGATAAACAGTGGTTTGGCTCCCAGGCCAGCTCTCAAACACCTATTCACCTGGGACAGCAATTGAGATAGCACATTTACAATGAAAACCAGTGGAAGAAAACACCACTGCAGACCAGCTGTCTGGCCAGGGCACAATAAGCTGGCTCAGTGAGAAGTTTCTGTTGAGCTGGGGAGTCAGCAAAGGTAATACCAGTGACAGAAAGGGGAGGTAGAGAAGAGGACAGAGAACCTGGCAGTGTGATCGCTCAGGCCCAAAGGGTCACCCTTCCCAGGCTCCATCTCCTGAAGTCTGCATTGGTGGACAAGAGAGCTCTTGTACTCAGGTGCTGCATTAAAAGGCCTTAAGTTCTATAGCCAATTTTAAGCTAGCGATGGTAACTTAGAGTTATGAAATTCTGATTGGGTAGCAAAGGAAAATTTGATTAATCTCCAACCAGAATTTATTGGCCCTTAGATTGAGGGCTAACAGTGGGACATAATAACAGAGTGGAAACTTGGGGATCAGTTCCTTTTTACTTGTAAATGCCCAGAAAAAGCAGGAAAGACAAGGGAATAGTGAAGTCATAACCTTCACTGAAAATGCTCTGTTAGTTTTAGGGGATATTTTGTACTAGATAGGAGGCCAAGTTTTCCCACGAGTTCTTGGTTAGGGAAACAGGCTAGGGCTAGGGTAAGGGGAGTGAGGCTTTTGCCTTGGGTGCAAAATTTAAGGGAGAACCGCATTATTTACAATAACCATGAATTGGAAACAGCCCAAAGGCCCATCAGTAAGTGAGTTTATAAAAAAGCTATGGGACATTTATACAATGGGATACTACGCAGCCATAAAAAAGGAAATCTTACCTTTTGTGACAGCATGGATGGACCTGGGGATTATTATGCCAAGTGAAATGAGGCAGTCAGAGAAAGACAAGTACCACATGATCTCACTTATAGAATAAAATATACTGATGAACAAAAAAGAAACAGAAGCATGGATACATGGAACAGACTAACAGCTGTCAGAGGGGAGTGGGCAGGGGAGGGCTAGATGAAAAAAGGGAAGGGGGGTGGGGGCTGGATGGAGGCGGGAAAAGGGGGTGAAAATGGGAACATCTGTAATAGCATCAACAAGAAAAATAAAGAAAAATAATTTAAAAGAGAATCAAAAACTCAGTAATCAAGACAAAAAAGTTAATAGTATTTGAAAAACTTTGTTAATGCAAAAAAATCAAAGATAAATAAAACATTAAAATTTCAAACAAGCCCTGGCCAGATAGCTCAGTTGATTAGAGCATTGTCCCAATACATCAAGGTTGTGGGTTCGATCCCCAGTCAGGGCATGTACGAAAATCAACTGATGAATGCATAGACAAGTGAAACAACCAATCGATATTTCCTTCTCCCTTCCACTTTCTCTAGAAATCAATAAATAAAAATTACAAAAGAATTTTTAAACAAAGACAGGATCCATAACCGTGCCATGCTGAACCATATGAGAGCCTGAAGAGAGGAAAAGTAGTAATACCAGTCTCGCCTTTGTTTAAAATGTTGATGTTCTGTTCACTATGGATACTTTGCATTAGTTTTTATTTTTTTAATGCTGCGTTAAAACATTATTTACCTTCATTACTGAGTTTTGGTGTCCCCTTAAATTTTGTGCCCAAGGTGGGTGCCTC